AAGTGAAATGTATTAACGAGTCATAATACCTGACAACAATTAGTATACAGCATTGGATTGATTGGAGTTTATGCTTTTCGTCTTCACAGTGAATTATTTTTAGCGTCATATTTGAAATAGCGCACTCGATACAAGATGTCGGATGGGAAAATTGGGGTGTGTAAAAATGTTTGTAGGTTCAGTCAGGCAATGTGTGGACCAAAACATCGCCCACTATTTTAAACATCACTCATGGGCAGTGTTTAGGATGGGCGAGGTATCAGCCGAATCGGTATGTTGTTTTTCAATCTCCATGTTACAAGTTCTTTTGTGAATCTCTTCAGTGAACCCATCGTTGAATCTGTATCCCTTCATACTAGGTATAAAACATGATGTTTGGGGTGAAATAACCCACCCACCCACCAACCCACTCCACCCCTGCCATAAATTCCACTCCTATCGAGATCTCATTAATTTAAGATAAATACTATCCTAATATATTTGTAAAGAGGATAAGAAAACAAATAAAAATGAGAACAAAGCTGAAAGCTTACCATTCCAATGTTATAAGACAACATTGTGAAATAACTAACAGATTTATCTTTCTTGGATTTCTTCTTCTCAACTTTATCTCTATTGTAAGATAAAACACAGTACGGTACTTTGTCAGAAATAACAGTATCAATCTTTTGAACTGTCATTGTGTATTCCATGCGTACAGGGAATATAAGTTTGTCTCATGAAACAAAATGTTTGCAGCAAAATCAAAACATCTTGCATGGATTCTAGTTTGCTTCACATATTTTACAGCTATTGCTATTTACTTTTTGAATACTCGTGTTACAGAATAATGTGCACAGATAGTTTTACATATAAGCCAACTACACCCCTGAATACTCATTATAGAGACCAAGAAAGACTATTACATGTATTATTAAGGTAGCGAGACTATTATTTGTGTTGAAAATTACGATTTTCACATTTATTTATTAATTGATGAAATGCACTATAAACTTTCATATGATAAAGTCAACATAACATAGAATGTCATGTAAGTTGGTTAAAATGTAGATTTTCTGAAGGAAAGCAAGGCAGCCTCAGTAGTGTTTTCCAAAATCAACAACACAGGTTTAATCTGTGTGCCTATAAGTTTCAAAGATAAACTCAAGACAAAGCAATGTTAGGATGTGTTATCAGTAGCTATCTGACACACAATGAGTGTTTCCAAACATTTGAGTGGTTTGTCTCCGCCCCGTTTGTTTCACAGATTAGTCATTTGCATATGAATGTGTCAGACACAAGGTCACACAGCCACT